GTTTTTTGTTTGGTTGTTGTGTGTGTGTGTGTGTGTGTGTGTGGGTGGGTGGGTGGGTGGGTGGGTGGTTTTTTGGGGGAAGTGGTTTCTTTGGACAATTTTCTACTTAATTTTATTTTGAGAACATAGTAGAAGAACTAGATTGAGAAAGCTGCAGCACAGGCTCAGTCTCTAATTCTTTATTAGAGAAAGAGATGCCTGCAGCAAGATAGTTGTGTGCCTCACACTCAAGTTTCTAAATTAACTAGGAAACACACAGCGAGGGTATGGTGTGCTTCTCTGCTGTCTCCTAAACACTGCCCTGGCAGAGCCAGGGTGCCAGAATGGAACACTTGTATAGGTGAACTTTTGATCAAAACTTAGCTTTGCATTCAGTTCTAAGCTGGCAGCTATCTTACTGCTGTATTTAAATTCATGTCATCAAATAGGAACATCTTCTGTAACTGCTGAAAACTATTCTCCATAAATACAAGGTTTATTTTGATCAAAGTTTGAAACTTGCAAAAAAGCTATCGGGATAAAATACTAGATCAGTTTAGTCACACAGCTGCATTTTTGTGTGTTGAATTAGGTATTAGGTATATAGCCTGTCCTTTGTCTATTAACAAACGTTATTGTCCAGTTCAGCGTGAGATTGAAGATGTGAATAGCCAGATTTTAATAAAAGCATATAAATTTGGGTTTAACTGAAGAGGTCACATCCTGACATCACATCATCACATCCTGTAAATCTACACAAACAACAATTCAGAAGGCTCAAGATTTGAATCACAAGCACATTTAAATGCATCATTTGCACCGTGGGAACCAGAAATGAGCAATTCCCTTAATTATACACAAAAAATTAATACTGCAAGGACACTTTGCAGACAGATCAATTATGCTAACAAATACGCCAAAAAAAGCATTTATTACTGAAAATTAATTTAATACACAAGATATACATTTCCTTTCAAGAACTTGCGTTCCCCCAGCTGAGAACTGGGTCATCATCCCAGTTGAGAAGTACAGATTACAAAATATTGAAGAGACAAATTTTGAAATATTTCACTAAATATTACATGCACACCACTACTTACATAATGAACCACAGTTCTTTTAGCTGGTGAAGGAAACCAGTTATCAGCTGTTTCCTCTTACAACATATCATAAATAGGCCTGAATTTCCAATCCTTCCTTTAATTAGCAGTTATGACTAAAGCAACACAGTGATTAGTTTTTTAATGTACACTTACAGGGATATGTACAGAATATGTAGAAATGACTGCCTGCCAAAAACAGGATGCCTGCCTGCTTTGGATGTTGCAAAATTTCAATTCAAAGTCAGGGTGCTGGTGTAGTTAAATAGTTCATTTGATGTTATGGTCAGAACTTTCATGAATATGATTTTTGAACAAATATGCTTTTTGAACAAATATGTTAGAGATGCATATTTAGCAATGTAAGATCAGTCCTCTAAACTTGTTCATGTTAACTACCACATTCATTTCATATAAACAGTGACTTTATGATTAAGGAAGGACATACCTCTTTTACTTTTGCATAGTTTTACTATCTAAGCTAATCACTTTATTATTGCTGTCCCTTTCATGGAATATCATATTAAGAAAACTTACTTTGATCTCATAGCTTTTGCCCCCACTCTCCAATTGAATATTACTTCTTGGTTTTATTTAGGAACAAGTTCTGTTGGAGTAATGTTTCAATGATGAGAACTGTTCAAGGATGTGTAATAAGTACTACACTAGAAGTACACAACAAGCTGGAAAGCTCAGTTTTTTTGCTAGAAAGCTGCAATAATATACCAAATTCAAATTCTGCAAAATGCAGAGTTTATAAACTTCGTGATATGCATTTTCTTGAACAATCTGGTTAAATGTTGCATTAGAAAAATTACAAAAGCAAAAGAAGGAAAGCAGCATGTAAGAGTTCTTAACATTTATGTCACTTTGATCTACAAACATGAAGATTAACTTTATCACTTGTGTCCCCCAGGTAAGTTGACCAAAAATTAACTCATGACTACTACTGCAAAATACTACTGTATTTCATCAAAGTTTTTCCAGTATCAGGGAAGACATAAATCATTTGAAAGAGAGGTATATGGTAAAACATAGTATGTTTATCTTGAGGCTATTGTATCTCCAAAAGCAGAGAGATGCATTTTCGACAGTTTTTCTGGAGTAAGGTCAGTTCTGGGGTGCTGACAGCACAAGCTGCCTTCTAGACAGACCATTCCCCCTGGCCTCATTCAGAAGGAATGACCACAAGCATTGTTTTCCACTACATGTAATTATTGCTTTCAAACATGCTTCCACTTCAGTTCTCTAGACCAAAAGGCCAACAACTTATGACATTGCTGCCAAAGATGGCACTGAGTTGCACTCTGACCACAGTGCAATGGAGATACAACATGAGGCTGAGAACAGAAAAACTGCTGTAGAGGGAAGAAGGGCTCAAGGACAGCAGGAGCAGTATCTACAAGCTCACCAGGCAACAAGAACTCAATGGTGCTTGGGGACATCCTGCTGTTCAAAGGACTGTGCTTCAGTCCCACTGAATATCTTATCAGCATTCCTAATTTCTAGACAAAGAAAAGCACAAATGTGGCACATTCCCCCTCTCACTGCAATTTTTGAACTTAAAGCAAACAAAGCACTGAGCATTAAAACAACTGAGTATCAAATACAATACAGGCAAGGCACACACTCAGCAAGAGATTAAGAATATCCTACCATGTGCAATTATAAGTGACCAACTTCTTCCATGTTACCTTAAAAAACAGGAAAACAATCCTTGTGCCACTTATTCAAATGAATTTTAACCCGCTATAAAAGAACTAGAGAGCATTAAATCTGCACAAACTTTTGACCTATAGCAGGGAAAGCTCCATATTAAGAGCACATAAGTGCATCTTTTGAGATTACTTAGAGCTGAAAATTACAACTGAATCTTTGACATTTTAAATAATTATGTTCAAGACTTAGTAACCACTTAACATTTTAAAATAATTCCCTATGGATTACCTTACTGCTGCCTGGTGATATTTTTACCCTTTACTAGAGCAGGACTTGATATAGCTGAGGTTTTTTTGTTTGCAGGTTTATATGCCCTTCAGTGGCATTGGCAGGAACATTATTAGTAGTGCAAACATACCTCTTGAGCAATGAGAAGTTGTGTAGCAGCTCCCTAAAAGATTAAAGAACACTGCAGTTTATACTCAAAGAGACCCCGAAGTGCAATGCATACTGCAGAGCAAAAATAACATTGTGTGAGCTGCCACATACATTTCTTAAGCTGAATTTCTTGACTTTTTCTTACTATTCAAAAATCAAGAAGGAACTGCTCCAAAGTTGTGCTGTGTTCTGACAGGCAATACACAGAACAGGCCCACTACAGGTCTTTAATTCACTCCTTTTTAAATAGTTATGTTATCCACACTGTTTGGTCTTGGAAAACATTTTTACAAATTCTGCATTAAATGACAATGCAAAATACATACTAAAACACTTTAAAAAAAAAAAAAAAAAAAAAAAAAAGGTAGCCAAAGCAACTCCACAAACCATTCTACTAAAAAGTGATACTACACACCTCTAGTTTTTGTCCAGTAAGAGTTCTCACTTTGTTCACAATCCTGTATTTTCTTTTGTTCTCAAGACATAACAACTTGTTATTTCCTTTAGAGTAATAACTGTCTGGAGCACAACATCAAACAAAGTTTCAGCAATTCTGCTCATCTGCTGTGGACACATACTCATAATAAAGTGGGTTATTATATGGCAAAAATATTGACAAACATTACAAAAACAGTAAGAATAAGTTATATCATGCAATCAGAAGATCTGCCTTAAAAAAATCAACTACTGAAATAGTTACACTTCAAAACAGCTTGACATTAATGCCCTTAAGACTTCTTAGAAACCTTAAGATTCACCAGCCTTTGGTGCAAGCAGGCTGAAGGACTGACAAAAACGTTGGGGTTTGCACCACATTTGACCTCTCAACCCACAGCCATCACATACCAGCTCTGGGCTAATGGCACATATGGAAGCAATGCTGCAGCAACCGAACTGACTTCCTTCTTTTTCATGAAGGTGTGGTGTTGAGAAAGAAACAAGGCAGAGCCTAAAAGCATGAGAGGAAAGCACAAAAGGGAGGGAATTAAACTGAGGAATGTATGTTTGAGGATGGGTCTTTAGAAAGTGAGGACACAAGGAGGGAAGCAATTTTTTGCTCAAAATAATAATAATTTATTATTATTATATTTTTAATTGCTCAACTCTTAATTGCTTTTTCAAACTCTTAAAAAGCAGCAAAAATATAAAGGATTTGCTGGTGGTTCCTTATTCTGATCAGTGACCACCATGTCTGAGATGTGCAGACACCCACTATGAATTCTGGTAATTCTCACTTTCTTGTGCATTCATTAACCAGGAAGCGAGGCATGGCAGACTGAAGCACCCAAGCTGAATTTTCTACAGTAGACAAAGATGAAAGCATAGAACAAGAAGAGCAAGGTTAGAGAAAACAAGAAGTGAAGTGATGAGCACTCCAAAAAAACCTATTCTTCTACAGTCAAATATAGGACAAAGAAAGAATTCCCAAACACAGATGACTGCCTTACCATACAAATAGATTCTACTGTTGGCAGTGACATAAGTACAGAAAAAAATTAATTTTTGTAAATCACAAAGTGAATTAAGTCACTCATACTCCTTCACAAAAAAATAAAATAAAATCCTAGGTTGTACCTACTGAATTACAAAATGTACCAGCACTGGAATGATAACCCCTTGCAAAATTATCCTAGGCTTAAGAATGCATGTAGTATATGTACAGCTTTTTTCACATGTGAAAAAAGGTTCTTCACAAGAAGCCACTGTGTGCCCCAATGTAAATTCACCAGGTGGAAAATACATGTGGCACAGAAAGTATCTTCTTAGCTGCTAACAAACAAGGGTGCATAAAACAAGGAAATATTTAAAACACAGCACACTGTATTACACGTAGAATTTTTCATTTCAAGTTTATTAAAACTTTAGCAGTACAAATGATCCAGGTTTTAGATTATCAAAAGACCAAACTGAAGTCCACATCTTAAAAAAAGGCGTTCCTCAAAACGTCTCTAAAACTTTGAGACAATGGAAACATTAAGTCCAAACACTCATCCATGCCTGTCATCATCTGTTCCAGGACTTGTTTCACGATCAGATTTCTTATCCTTACTAGGGGCATGATCTCTGTCCTGACTCTCTGATTTTTGGTTAATTTCTTTTTCAGCTGAGGATCTGGTCTTTTCCTTTTCATTACTCCTGTGTGAGTACGATTTTGATTCTCTCTCTTTGCTACTTGGTCTCTTTTTTGAATCTGGACTTCTATCTTGATCTCTACTAGACTTCTTACCTTTACTGGATTCAGGACTGCTACTTTCATGGCTTTTTGAATGCCTCTTCCTTTGGCTTTCACTATCATTCCTCCTATATGAGCTTCTACTTTCTCTATTTGAGTATCTTTCTCTGTTTCTGCTCTGACTTTCCTCTCTCTCTGAGCTCCTCGAGTTTCTCCTCCTCCTATTTTCTCTTCCTCTGTATCTATCTGGTGTACCTCTCCTTTCTCTGCTTCTTGATCGTCTTCTTCTTGATTCTCTATCCCTGTTCCTTGAATATTCCTTACTTCGACTGCGATCTCTGTCTCTGCTTCTTGATCTACCCCTTCTACCCCTCTCTCTGCTTTTGCTTCGTTCCCTTGTTCTACTGCTGGAACTATGTTTTCCTCTAGCATGCTCACGCTCTCTGCTTCTTGATTTGTGTTTCTCCCTGTCTTTACTCTTCCTATGGTCATGTTCATTACTTCTTGAACCTGCCCTTCTGCTTCTCTCTTTACTCCTACTTCTTTCTTTATCTCTCCCTCTAGAATCATAGTGCTTTTCTTTTTCTCTGTCTTTCTCACGGTCCCTCTCTTTGCTTCTTGATCTTCTCTTCTCATCATGTCTGCTGTGTTTGGAGTCTCTTTCTTTACTTCTTGATTTCTCTCTGCTTTTACTATGGCTTCTAGATTTGCCTCTTTTCTTGGTCTTGCTTCTATTATGCTTGTCATCTTTTTCCAAATTTCTTCTCGTCTCCCTGTCTTTACTGCTGGATTTATGATCTTTTTTCTTCTCTTTTTCCCCTCTTCTGCTTGGACTTTCAGAAACTTGTCTGTGGTCTGATGTTTTTCTCTCCCTTCCTCTTCCTGGGCTTTTTTGATTATCTTTCCTGATTTCATTTATTTCACTCCTTGGAAAAAAAAAATTGGAAAATTAAAAAATAATTTGAATCTCCTACATTGTGAAAAATGAAGTGAGGACTGAGGCTGCTTCACATTTGTAGCTTAAAATCACATTACATCATTTATAATAATAATTATATTTGTATGGAAACCACAAATGAGCACGATTAAAGCCTGGTAGTTAAGTAATGGGATAACTAAGTCAGTGTGTCTTGTTTTCTTGGAATTAACTATAACTGAAAATTGAAGAGAAAATGTATTACTTCTAATATATACAAAAATTTAAATGCATATATTTTAAATGCACATACACCAAACAGAAATCATCTTACTTGTCTCCTTTTATCCATCTTTCTCCACTTGACACTCTCATTCTTTGAGCTCTTTGCATTTCTTGCCTCCAATGTGGAGGAGTTTCACTGCGTCGGAATCGATCTCTTGACCTGGATCTGGAAGGAGTCCGGTAACGCTTGACAGAAAGAGAAAAGAAAACCAGGTGCTAGTTAGCTATCAAAGCACATGAATCCAAAACGTTTTAATCCCCAGTGGTTGATTCTCCGCAGCACCTACCATGACTCAGATGCGTTCACTGAAAAGTTATTAATTTACTGAACATCATGACATCATTCAGCTAAAGCAGCCCCTACATCAATTATGATGCACCCATAGATTATTTGCACACTTTTTTTTTTTTAATTTACAAAATTGACCATCCTAATGAAAATGGGAGTGCTACCGCATTGTTTGCTTTGAGGAAGGGATTGCAAATATTTACCCTTGGTCCTCTTCCTTTTATTTTCCTTCCCGATCTTGTCACCAGCAGCCTTCTCTGGTATGTTGACTGGGAATTCGATAGATTACTAAAAATAAAAATCAGTATTGTTTGTAACATCAAAGAAGGAAAGAAGATAAAGACAACTTCATATCCTCACACAGCTCTGAGTGACACTATTATATCCTGGCAGCGACAATACACAGCCACCCCCGCTATCAGTTCATTTCATGAGAACAGCTGATGCTCACTTGTAAGGTCTGATTAAACCTGTTACTGTAAAGTAACAGAAACTCAAGTGGTGAAGTATAATTATTCAATTGCATTTAAACCTTTCTAGCCCTGGCAGAAACAGCTACAATAATGGGCAACCATGAAATCCTTCATTGCATAATTGTAAAACCTAAAACCCGAGATGTTTTATAAAACAGTGTTTGTGGAACTTGTATAATTTCCTAAGGGCATATTCAGTAATTACACAGCAGTAGCTTTCCATATGAAACTTCCACTTAGGCAAAAAGTAACCTTCTTGAGACAAAGCCTGAACATGTACTGTTCATTTGTTTATTTAACAGATCTAACCTAAAAATAGGTAAGACAAGCTTGCCTAGTCTCTATATTAAAAGGATTTCATTTGAAGGGACGTTAGAAGGAAAAGAAAGCTAAGAAGGAAACAAAAACTAATTTTTAGGTGTACTTTTCATTGGAAATTATGAGAGTTATAGCTGTTATGCAGATAGGGATTTTCAATATTACTGTATCAGCTAACTATATCAACCAAAATTTCTCATGAAAGCTTCAGTTTTGATTACTAGAAAGTATTTCACTGGATGAGTTCTTTTTTGAGGGCAGATTAAGATATAGACTCAGCTTGGACAGCTATAATAAATTCTAAATGAAACTGCAATCTATTTCATTTGCTTTTTCT